AGTTGAAGATGGATAGTCGCTCTTAGTGGCTATATAGTCATCATTTGCACTATTTCGACAATCTGACAGGGAGATGAAATGTTTAGAAATAATAGATGATATTGTTCTAAAAACTTATCATTTTTGCTTTTTTGAATACTTTATTTTATTGTTGATAACAAAAGGTGATGGTTTAAGAAAAAAACCATCATATATGTATAACAAATACGTGAGTTGGAACTATGACTGTCACTAATTACTTAACACAATCTCCACCTAACAATAGGTGATCTTCTTTGGTTTTAATCATCAAGTGTTGAGCAATATATATTTGAAAATCTTTAGTAGAGTATATTGGGTGTTCAACGTAGCTCATGTCTTTTTCTCTAAGTTATCTTGAAAGTCATTTATTGCTTTTATCAGTCTCCTTACCTCTCCATTTGCACACTTGTTAAAATCATAGATTGTTGTAGTTATACATAGAGCTTTAAGATCTAGTCATTATTCATAAATAAAATCCTAGTCTAAAATATATTTATAACAACCTTTCGTGTATATCCTTTTAGTGAGATGGAGGGCATATGTGTTGAAATTGCAAAGAACGAAGTCCAAAGTTTAGTGAATTTTGTGAAAGGCGAAGCTCAACATTTATGTTGTTTGAGTAGTTATGCTGCGACATTTGATATAAAAAGAAATAATAGAAGCAAAACTACATGATGTCAATAGAAAAATAGAAAATGCCAGAGGTGTTTCTATTGTAACAAATAAAGCAGTGCATTGGACATGTGAAGCTAAAAGTCTTATTGAGTTCGATGATAGAAAAAGAGAAATCCTTAATAATCAGTGTCTTATTTGCTAGTGACAATATTGGAAAGTTAAGGACTTGATAGAGAAGACTCAACAATTTCATGCATTTTGAGAGTAGAAGGTCAATGTTTTAAGACCTAAAGAAGACATTAGAATATGAAAATTGAAACATCCTTCTTTTAATCCTTTAGAGTATGCGTTTGGAAGTGTTACAATTCAAGCGATTCATGAACCAAACCTGTAGATTGAAAATTTGCAATTGGTTCTCGGGTTACTGTTTACTGGTTACTTTTAGATTTTTAATCCAACTTTGAGCAATCATAACTCTTAGCACACACATCCTTTTTAAGTTATCTACCACTTGTTTTAAAGCTCAGGATGTGTACTTTAATCATGCTAACTTTCACAGGAAAAATCAATCATTTTCCACACTTCCACTTTGTCACTATTTTGTTGATCAACTAGGAATAGTTTATCCCTTAACTTGCACTAACAGTTCACGGTTAAGTCTTTCTATACATAATACCATTCCATTCATACATGAACTATTCCCATGCATTTTCATAGCCCATTACACAAGCCAACATCATCATTTATCATCACATACCATCAATGGCACATCTACAACATACATTGGTATACAAAGGGTACAACGTGATGTAATACACTTCTTAAATTCTTTTCTTCTCTTTCTTGCTCCACTTCTTGATTTCTTTTCCCATCCTCTTGCACCTAGTATGGTTGGTTAAGGGAGGGTGAGATTCAAGAGAATATCAGTAGCAAACAATAACCACCCAAACATACATGGCAATCTTAGCATTCATAACATGCTTGCAATTTAACATTTCTATAACATAATGACATGTTTGGAAATCATCATGCATTTATCATAAAACACATAGGCCTATGGTATATTTCAAACACATTCACAATCACAACACATGAGTTAATAAAATCATAGAATATAGAAACATGTCATACATGCAAGCAAATACCAAGCACATAAGAGTAAGGTCAAGTTTGCTACCTTGTGTCCTTAAGCTTTCTTCTTACTCCTTTTTGCTTCCAACCATTAAGGTTGTTTGCTCAATCACATCCAAACCTTCTCTTCGATGCATCAAGGTCCTAATCACAACCACAAGGGTCACATTACTCATTAGGACTAAGAATTACACAACATGGAAGACTTATGTCCTTAAACTTAATCCCTTTTTTCTTAATTTATAATGTAGTGTTCTAGATTTGTAAAAATTGTTCTCTTAGGCCAATCTTACACAATTTTGCCCAAAGAATCCAAATATGAGTTTAGATTCATCAAAATCCAGCTCCTTCCCCTGGTCCTAGGCTAAAACCAAAATCTGTCACTTAATTTCCAGTTTTGATTCTAATGCTTTCAACTTCATTCTTTCATCTTATCCCTACATAATTTTTCATTTTAAACACATTGGAAGTATCAAAATCATCAAAATCACATCCTAGCCATTGAACATTAATCTAACATCAATTTCATCTCCCCTCACACTTAACAATTTCATGCAGCATGCCCCCCAAGGGTTTCAAGCTCCCAGAAACCGTTAAAATCCACAACCAAGCTCAATAACAACAAGAGTAGTGAAAACTACATCAAAAACCATGAACATACCTTATTTTAGAGCTTGATCTTGCATATGACCACTTGGCCTTTCTTTCTCCCTCTTCTTTCTCTCTCTAGAAACCATTTTGCTAGAGCTTTCCCAAGGTTTCCATGAGGTTAGGATGAAAATGAGGGAGGGGAGGGGGTATTTATAGAAAATAAGACTGAATCTGGACCGTTGATCTTAAAAATGCGTGGCTTGATCTGGATCGTCCATTTTCTCTTTTAATCTTATGGTGACAAGTGTCCTATGACATTATGCTTACATCATCTTGATGACATCATACTTACATTATCAATCCACATGCTTTTAATTCAACTGTACATGTGTCTTGCATCCAGCCGTACACGTAATATCTTCTTTTTCCATCTAACCATACACTTGTCTCCTCCATATTCCTTCATTATTTTGGCATTAAAATAGAGAGGAAATTAATACAAAATTCATGCAAAATACCACCCTTAGGTCTTCCTCCACCTATCTTGCTATTCTGTACTGTACAAGGTACTTTTTTGGGTCTTGACCTTCTTGAGATCACTGGAACATGTTATGGCACCATTTTCTCACCTCAACTAAATCTATGACATGCCCAAAGATGGAGTGATACTCTTCCCTTGTTCTTCCATTAAAATAATTAAAATAATTAATCATATTTATTTCGAAGTGATCTTGACCAAATTCTTTCTACCGGTCTATAACTCCGAGAACCTATCTTCGGGTGCCAATACTATTTATTCATCACATGGAATTCCTCTAATTTTTCTTAAGTCAAAAGTCAACCTATAGACATTTGACTTTGACTTTCTCCAGATAGTACGTAAATAGGCTTTAAATTCCATTAAAGCCAACCTCTTCGCTTTCTGGGGATGGAATTATTTTTAAAACCTGTAATAATTCTCAAGTATTTTCCTCCATTTTCTTCCAATTATATGAGGCCTCCCTATACTTTAAATAATTCATTTTCAGTAATATTCAAAATCAGTCAAAACCCTGAGAATTCCACAAATTCCTTCTTGGGGCATTTTCGTCATTTTTAGCCTCATATAGGCTTCTGAACTTTATCCCTATTTTTCTGGAATTTTTTTGAAGTGTTCAGGTCTTAGGTCTTAACTTGCCATTTCCTATTTTTTGGGATTTTTTAGGATTTTTGAGCATAATTTCCATTTTTACCCTTAGTAGTCGAAACTTTACAAAATTACAATTTTACCCCTGGTTTGGCATAACCTCAAAATTCACTTCATTGAGGCCTCCAATATAACTATTGGCCTATATTCATCTCTATTTCTTATTCCTGAGTCTCAAGACTTCACTAGAGTCTCTAACTTTCTCCTTTGTCAATCCTAGAAAACTTTTCCTTTGTGATTTAGTCCTTGGGAATCCTTCTATCCTTCCAGGAAATCTCTGGAACCTCTGTCAAAAAGAGTCTGGTAGCCTGCCCAATTCAAGTTAATTTCAATACTTCTAGGCCTAAAATCCAGGATGTGACAAAAATTACAATATGATTGGATTGCATGTCCTAGGGAGTACAGGAAAAACCCTAATGGCAATACAAGTGGGTACTGAACTCGAAGGATTCAAATTTGACAAAGTCATCTTTCTTGTCGTCTCTCACCTCCAGATTTCAAAAAGATTTGACATGATTTGGCGAAGCATCTTGACGATTTGACATTAGAAGAAGAGGAAGAAGGACAATCGAAGAAAATATGATCCAAAATCACTAACATGAAAGAAAAGCTGCTTATAATTCTAGATGACGTATGGGAAGAGCTTCATCTTAAACAAGACTTAGGGATCCCATTAAGCCACAAACACAAGGCTTGCAATACATTGATAACCACGTGTAACTTACATGTTTGTACATCAATGGGGTGCCTAGTAACAATTCAAATTCAATTATTGGCTAATGAAGATGCATTAAATCTTTTCCTTATGCATGTTATTATTAATGATTCCTCTCATGGTTGGAAGGGTGTGGTAGAAAAGCTTGTAAAGCATTGTGGAGGAATACTAGTTGCAACTATAGCATTAGCAAAAGCATTAAAAAATCAGCCTATAACAATTTGGAAAGATGCTTTGAAAACCTTGGAAGATCATAGTGTTGATCAAAATTTGAAAGAGGCTTATAATTGTCTGAAGTTAAGTAATGACAACTTGAAAAATCAAAAGGCTAAAGAGCTCTTTTTGATATCTTCTTTTCTAAGAAGATGCCCAAATTCCCATACAAATGTTAACCAAAATTGGCATAGGATTGGGTTATTTTGGAGAAAATGACAAATAACATTTAGTAAGAAGTGAAGTGGGTGGAGCTATAAATGAACTTACAGACTCTTTTTTATTGTTGAAAAGTGAGGAAGGCTTTTTAAAGATGTATGATTTGGTTCGTGATGGGGCCTTGTGGATAGGAGAGAAAGATACTCAATCTCTCATGAATGTGAAAAATCTTATAAAAAAGAATTTGAGATATTTGTTTTCAAAGAATGGTGTTTTTCCTGAGAATTTGGTGGAAATAGATTGGAGGTTCTAATAATGCTCAATGATTCAAAGGATTTGAATGTCTCAAATATATTCTTTAAAAAGACTATGAGGCTTAAAGTTTTTATTTTAGTTCATGGATGTGTCTATAGAATTCCAGCTCTATCATTGACAAATTCACTTCAGCCATTAAAAGATATTCGAACACTCATCCTAGCAAATTTAGAGTTAGGTGACATCTCCGTTATAGGAAACTTGCTGAGTCTGAGGACTCTTTGGTTTTATGGTTGTCCAATCAATGAATTACCAAGAAAAGTTTTGAAACTAAAGAAGTTGGGATCTTTGGAGGTAGAAGAATGTAAAATTACAAAGAACAATCCTTTCAATGTGATTGAGAGTTGCTCAAAACTAGAAGAATTAACTTTTGTTCATAATGAGTGTGACAATGAAGAGAAAGATGCAATTTCTCAAAATAGACTTGCTCTTACATTACATAGATATTGCATATCTTCTGAGAATCTTTCAAGTTATTTTGAAAAGTATGGTGCCATGTCAAGATGCTTTCAAATAGATAATGAATCAAGTCATCTAGTTTTAGATGCAACATTTAAGCAACTTATTAGAAGAGCTGAACTTCTTATCTTGGAAGGAGATGATGTGCAAAGAATATGGAAGAATCTTATCCCTGAGATGATGAATGGTTTGATTGTTCTTCATTTGAACTCATGTCCTAACATTGAGTGCCTCATAGATACCAAAGCTCATGATTTTGGTGTGATTGCTTTTGCTAATTTGGCTGAACTACATCTCTCTAAAGTGCGTGTTCAAGATTTATGTTGTGATCCTCCACCATCTGAATTTTTAGAGAAATTAGGGATTATGAAGTTGAAGGAGTGTCATAGCCTAAGGAGCATATTATCAAATGGCAACTACAACTTATGTCATCTTAAGTCCATGCAACTAGAAGATTGTCCATTGTTGACATTAGTTTTTCAGCCATCCGCTACTCGAAGTCTGAAGCAATTGGAAGAATTAACAATGAGAAGTTGCAATGCACTTAAATACATGATAATGGGTGAAGATGGTGACAGTAGTAGAAAGAGTTATTATGACTCATTGTTTCCAAAATTGAAAATGCTTCAAATAGCAAAGTGCAACAAGTTAAGAATAATATTGCCCATCCTATTTGTTGGAGGTCTTGCATCTTTGGAAAAGTTAAGTATATGTGAGTGTCAGCAACTAGAATACATATTTGATAAGCTACAAGAGGAGGAAGATGCTATGCTTCCCTCACTAAGAGAGGTGCAACTTTTCAGAGTACCGAGTTTCATTGGAGTTTTCGAAGAACATCAACCACTTTCGAGTTCATCACTGCAAAAACCATCACCTCCACTTTCAAGACATAATCCTAACAAGATAAAACAAAGTCTAGCTACCCATGCTTTCTCTTGGATTCAAGCATATTGTTCTCTTAATAAATCGGGGCATGCCAATGGAGAGACCAATATTGTTGTTTCTGAACATAGGCCGGTTGACCACACAATCCCACTGGTATGCTACATTTGCTTTACTATTTTTGTTCAAATGTCTCTCTAATGAATTTTATGTGGTTAATTATTTCAAGAATATGAATGATTTACAACTGGATAAAATAAGTCTGAGTGTTGAAAATATCTATTATAATCCTTGGTATGATACATTATTTAAAAATAATTCGAAGTACCTTTTTCTTTTTTCTTCTTCAGACGTGATCGATACTTAATTTGCTAGTGATTGATACTTAATTTGCTAGACTGACTGCATAAAAATTTAAGACACACACACAGTCTCTCTCTGTGTATATATATCTTTTGTGTCAAAAAAATGCATTACGGTGAACATTGACTGATTAGTATCAGTATAACATTTCATTAATGGAAAACTACATTAAATGGTTTCATTGTTGAATAACAATGTCTGTTTGTAAGGATTACTTGCATCAAAGAAACGGATTGACAATGCGATACTATCCTTGTTGGTCATATTAAGAAAATGAAACTTGCATATCGATACTACCCTTCAAATTCAGTATCGATATTGTTCACTTACCCATGGCATCAACTTTGATGTTTTTAACTGATTTTTTTTAAGTATTGTAAACATTAAAACTGAATATTAAATAGATAAAAGTATTGAAAACATTGAAAATAGCAGTATTAAAAAAAATGAAAGTTGAGTAATGAAAAAATCAACTCAACAAAACTTCTGATTTCAACCAAGGACTATGATCCTTCTTTGATATTTTCTAAACTCTCTGTCCTTAATAAAAATTGAACTTAAATAAATTTATGTCTTGTATATGTCTACGATTTTTCTTCCAATTTTTCTCATACACAACTTTTAACTTGCTTTTCTTTTCCAACATCACATATTTTGAGAAGTTTATTTTAATTGATTTCTAAATTAAAGTTGCAAGATAAATATATTTATCCTATCAAATTCATCGATGTAGAACAAGTAACATTACGATCAGTAGCTCACATATGCAACATCTAACATCACGCATATCGATCTATTTTGGATGAAATGAAACATTAATTTGACACAACCATTTATGAATATTTTTATATATTAAACTTCTAGATTAATTGTTTGTTAACCAAATATTACAATAGGGCATGATAATTCAAGTAGTTAGTTTAGGGCTTTTTCCCCCTCGAAAAAAGGCTTTGAACATATTACAATGAGAAATCTAGTAAATTTACCTTTGGGAATAAGGTCAGCTATCAAAATGCTCTACTTGTTTCTTGGACTGAAGTATATTGATGCTTATAAGATGAAAACGTATTTGAACTTAAGTTTTAATTTGATTATAGTATGAGTAAGTAATTAGCACACTTTTTTAAAATGGAAATTAAGCTAAATTTTATTTCAAATTAATCTAGGTAGTATATTGTATATTACTATTGTGTATTATTGCATGATGAGACTTGATGAATTATTGGCTTGTAGGAAGTAGATTTACCCACAAATGGAGCTCCTCTGTTCCATGCAGCCCAAGGCCCTCTGATTCAATCATTGAAAAATATTAGAAAAATGGAAGTTGTGGAGTGTACGAACTTAATATCATTGTCAACTCTATCCCATGCCTCAACAATTTTGTTGGAATATTTGACAGTCAAATATTGTGAGAACTTGAAATGCATTGTAGAAAATGAGGGAGATGCTAGAATTCACATGAACTACCATTCCATCTTTCCAAAGTTGAAATGGTTACAGGTTTTAGACTCTGAAGCACTCGAATATTTATTCCCAGCGTATGCTTTTAGATGCCCTACATATTTGGAATCTTTGAAGATCAATTGGGCTCCTACGTTGAAATATGTATTTGGAAGAAGCCAACATGAAGATAGTCTAACTCATCAAAATCAAAATAACAAAACCCACACAGATTTCCCTACTCTAATTGATATTTATATTTGTCATGTGCCAAAACTTGTAAGCATTTATCCCGAAAACTACAATTTAAGATGCTTATCTCCAAAGTCCATTGTTTTAAGGGGGCTCTCAGAGTTTACAAGATCTTTCAAAGAATTTTTGTTTTGTTGGCATACAGAACAACTGGAAGCAAAGGTATGACTCTTACTAGCCCTAATATATTTCCCCAATTGATAAGTTGTATTTTAATAATATTTTTCACTACTTCATCATATTTTCTCTTAAAGCAGAAAATAATAATATTACCTCACTAATTATATATTTTCGTTAAATTGTAAGAGTTTTTTTAGTTTATTTTCTATCTACGTCTTTGAAAAGAACATTCGTATTCAAAATTCAAATGTATTTATTTCGTCATAATTTTTATTTAATAGTTTCACTCATCCTAAAGTCTACTATATTTCGAATTGGCCTGCCCATTTAAAATTTTATTTTTTAAAAATAAATTTGGAATTGATGTATCTTCCATGGAGTTTCTAGACAATTGAGATGCGCAGACAAACTTTGAAAACTCTTGAAGTTTGGGACTCCAAGATAAAAGAAATTGACCTATGTGCACATAAAGAAAAAAGGGAATGGTCTTGAACCACTGACATCAAGCTTACAAATATTGGTATTGTGAGATCTAAGTAAGTTGGCGAATATATGTGTGGGGCCTAAACATATCATATGCTTCCATTGTCTTCAATCGCTACTCATTGGTGGATGCAAAAAGCTCAAAGTTATCTTCTCCACATCTATAGTACGGAAGCCTACCAATGTTGAAAGAACTATATATATCAGGCCGTGAAGAATTAGTTCACATTGTTGAAGAAGATTATGAAACAAATGATGATGATGATTCACAAAATAAATCATGCTTTCCCAACTTAGAAGTTGTCTCTGTAAGTGATTGCGACAAATTGAGGTACCTGTTTGCTATCGCTATTTTTGATATCCTTCCAAAGCTAAGATATTTGAAGATACTAGGAGGCTATGAACTTGAGCATGTGCTAGTAAGACGAGGTGAGATGAAAGAGATAATCATGGAGGATGTGCTCTCACAACTAAATCAACTGATACTATAGAATCTTCCTAACCTCAATAGCGTTTGCTATGGGATTGATTTTCAAATTTTGAAAGGATGTGATAACACAAAAGTGGGGGATTATTCTAAGTTTTCTTTTCATAGTATGTATTAAGAGAATTAATTTGTTCTTTAAAAATGAAAATTATTATATGAATTTTATTATAACCTTTTAAAATTCTATTTTCAGAAATTTCAAGTATCCAACTTCAAGCGAGTCCTAAAACAACAGATTCTCGTGTTGAAGAAAAAGCAAAGGATAAGCTTTCTTCACATCAATCTTTAAACATGGGAGAAGCAACATAACAATATCTCACCAAGGTATGATTTTGAGTGCTAATGGCATCATTTTACTTCTCGATCGGTCCCCATATGCTTGATTGTTTTAATTTCGTGGCGATGGTCAGGAAATTCTGTCCTTTTTATGAGAAAAAGAGTTTAAAGATCATATTTAGAATGCCAACAATATACCCACACACAATAATAGTCCCCTAAAATAGAAACTCTGGATTTCAAAAATCTGAAAACTATATTTAAACCTCTCATCTACTTGTAGAACACAGCCACGGGTGAAAGCATTAATGGAATGAGATTTAAGGTCCTTATGTTGGTCGACATGTTTTGTTGTATGTGAGGGAAGAGCTTTGCTTCATCTTCGATCTCTTCTTCACATCCCCTCAGTTCTCTCTGTCTCTCATCTCTTTCTCTATTTTTGTTGTTGCAACTTGTAAGAGCGAAAATGAATGTGATGTTGGCAACAGCAAGGGAGGAACAGCAAAATCCGGTTTGAGTCACGTCACAAGGACACTGTCCTTGAGAGATATTCTGCAACCCCTCAGTGTTACAGGCAGCAACACTCCCCAGGATCAAACGAACCCTTCCTGCGAAACAGCGAAAGAGTTTGTAATGCAGGGAACAGAGGAGAGGAAGAAGACGAGTACAATCTGCCCTCACACTTTCTGAACCATCCCTTATATAGATGCGAATGGCCACATCACCGGAAGACGCATCCCTCTGTTTCGTCGAATGGGTACGACGGAAACAACGCAAACGTTGGTGCACACAACGTTCGGTCACACCCCATGAGACGTGTCCGGTCGGCCACAAAAACAAGATGGCAACCCTTCTTATTTTTAACAAGTTTGAAATAAGACTTTTCTGGTAAGCAAAATTTTATTATTAAAAAAAATTTAACAAAAGTTTAAAATAATTTTTGTAAAATGAGGCGTTGCCACATCTAATTCACGCGCAGGGGGGGAATCACCAGTTTTCAACTGCATTTCCCTCTTGGTGGCCCGTTATTGTGTGCGCAAGGCCCACTTTCCTCTTGGCCCATTTACCCCCTCAAGGATGCTTAATCTCATTTATACACTTAGTCTTCTTCTCATCTTTCCCATATGGGACTTTATTTGACACACATTGCAATGTTTTCACAACAATATCCCACATGTGTCAAATAAAGAGCCAGAGTTACACACATGGGTATAACCATTGTATCTAGTGGTCCTTGCGACTATGAACTACACCTAGACCAATAACACTTAGCACACAGAGATGCCAGTGAAGCTTGCTTCTATGAACTGTCATCTCTTCAGTGTGTACCATAGGCATTAAAAGTCAAATTATACCCCTACATTTCCGCTGTTAACGATGATTTTGCGCGTTATATTGGCTGTGCGCGTGCCTGGTGCATAACGAATGCTCTAGAGATTTTGCCATGATCTCATAGGAGCGGCCCCACTCCACATTCGTAGAGGTGATTTCATTTAAGTGTACCTACACTGAATACACCATACCGTAGGATTTGAAATCATTAAGAGCTTTGCTCAACCCTCCAACATGCAATCTAGCACTTTCTCGCACATCATAGGAAGGGACCAGTAATTATGTTTTAGTGCTAGCAGTACTAACAAGCGACTTGTTTTTACCCATTGAACCTTCTTCATGGGATCATCAATCATAAAGGTTGGGTTGCCATCGCTGTCGTAATCATACTGGCTTTAGTCCCATTCCTCTTGATGTTTCAATAATTTGTTTCCTCCCTAGGGGTTTT